TGCGCATAAATCCAAAGCCGTTCGCCCCAAGCCATCCAGAGCCCGACGCTGCTGCCGGGCTCTCTCTGGTCACAGCCTGGAGCTCTTTAAGGCTTTTAAGGGCTGGGTTTGGTGCCTCCGCCCTTTGGGATCTCCACAAGTTCCCCTGTCGCATCTCCGTTCAGCTCTTGCTCGTAACACAACGCAGAGAATTATCGCCCTTTTCTAACCTACCTGTCACCCCAAAGGGGCTGCTGGAGCAGAATGAGCCCTAAAACGCAGCCGCGTTGGAGGCTCAGCACCGCAGGCAGCAGCCAGGATGCCCGTGTCACGGCAAAGCATTCAATCGGCAGCTCCCGGAACGCCGTGGGGACCCAACCTGTTGGGGGGGGACACAACCCTTCCCCACCTCCATCCAGCGTGCGAGGCCTCAGGACCACAGTCATGAGTGGACACAGGGCAGAGAAGATCCCCGATACCCCCTCCTCAATCCCAGCAGAGCAAACCGCAGCAAAAGACAAATCATTTCCCCCGCTCAGCGCCCACAGCGGGCCCAGCCCTCCCAGCCCCGCTTACGGCCGCCCTGGCTGAGCTGCGGCCCCTGCATCTCAGCCTGCAGCCAGGATCTGCTGCAAAACAAACCCGGGGTGCCTTGGGGTCCCTGCTGGGAGCGAACCCTGCAAGCAGGGCAGGACCCGGCTGCCTCCCCAGCCCAGCAGATGAGGAGGAGAGAAGGGGGCTGGAGATGGTCCCGCACCACCACCCTACGCAGGACAGCAGCCCGGTTACCGGAGGAGCACCCGCCTTACACCGCAGCCCCCGCCGAGGTCCAGCCCTGGGCTGCTCGCTGCCAGCCACCAGTCCTGAGCTGAAACCTCCCCACAACAGTGCCCTGGACAGGGACTTCAGTTGTTTTTGCAACCAAAACTAAAGCAGCCACTGGCTTGGAAGCGTTTGGAGATGAAAACATGTCATCACCGCTGTTGTTTTGGTTTTGTCCAATTTAAGGCTCGTTTAAGCAGGTCCGTAACAGCTGATTCTGTACATAACCGGGTGCCAAAGGCTGCAGCTTCCCGAGCACGCGGTGTCTTGTTCTCGTCTATCCCGTAACACGGCCACAGAGCAAAGGCTGACTCAGCAGCTGACACGTGAGTCCAAAGCTGAGCCCGTGCTCAGAGCCACGGGCAAGGGGCCAGCGCCAGCAGCGGCATCGCTCCCCCCGTTAGCAGGAAGGATGAGGCTTGTGCCACTTTCCCCCCTGGCACAGCACTGAGTGAGCTCAGAGCATCCCAAAGGGAAACCGAGGATGTGCACGGGCCAAACATCGGGAGCTGCCGAACTCGGTCAGCGCCAGACCAGAAGGGACGGCCGAGATGACGGTGCGTTGCTGGCCTCCAGCTCCGGCCGCTTGCTCCACACCCAGGCACCTCGGTCTGCCCTCCCAGGCAGCTTCACTTGCTGAATGTCCCTTGGATGGGTTTCCTTACTCCTGCAGCACTTCTACGGGAGGACGACATTGTCCTCATCACCTCCACCAATTCTGGATTTAATCCCACTGCCAGCCCCAGCACTGCAGAGGGGAGGCAATCCAAGCACTTGCTCTGACCCTCAGGCTGCTACCAAAGCAGACAGCAGGCATCTCTAAACAGGGGGTCTCACAATCGCAGTCAGGCACTCCTGACTGTATATGACCCTTAATTTCTTTGTCCTCTGCTTCCCGCACAAACCACGCTGCCAGCACGCAAGAGTGTCAGGATGGAATACTTTATTCACGTGAACGCTCAGATCCTGGCCCGTCCTGCCTGCTGCAGCTGCTCTCATCTTCTTGACAGTGTGAACAAGGAAGGATTTCTTCATCAGCTTGTTTAAAATCCCCCCAGCATCACCAGACCCCACAGACAAGTACAGACAGTTCAGCTTTGTCCGGGCACGAGCACAGCGTGGAAGGGCAGGGAGCACTGCGGGGCTGGCAGAGCGGGGAGAAGGGCTCCAGCCCACAGCTTGTCCACGCACGGCAGCCACGAAACCTCCCCGCAGCTCCGCTCTCACAACCACATCTGCCAGCTGAGCCTTAACCCAGGCTCCAGCACCCTCCCAGCCTCGGTGGCTCCTTCTGCTGCCAGAAGCACCCGGGGTTGGCAAAGGATGGGTGCCACCATCTCTTCTCCTTGGAAAGCTGCCTGCCAGAATCACGCCGGTTGCTTCTGTCACCTGCTGGGTCATTTAACCCTCAAAGTGCCCCCTGCCCACTGACAAATACCCGCCCCAAACTATTACAGTAAAAGGAAAAACCTGTACGTTGAGACATACAGGCTGAGTCTTGGGTAGAGAACGGTTTCCGTGCTTGGTCGTCCGATGGTGGCCGGCAGCTCCCAGCCCACCCTCGGGCACAGAAGGGAGCAGGATCCCCCGTGGCCACCCCCGGCACATCAGGGCTTCATCCTGCTCAGTCTGATGTCGCGTTCGATTTCGAACTGCCTGTGATCCACGCGCTCCAGGAATGCTTTTCTCTCGATGTACCTGCAGGGAGGCAGAGAGGCAGAGGCTGTAAGCAGTGCCTGTAGCAGCCAGCGCTTCCCCCAGCCCGGGGCAAAGCCCACCTGAGGGGACGAGCAGGGAGGGAAGGCAGCATCTGCCTCCCTCCCTCCCTCTCTTTCCATGAGCTGATCACTGCACTGAGCATCTCCTACGGACACCAAAAATGCTCTGCGGCCTGCTGGGTGTCTCCTGGGGAACTCGCAGAGGTCTGGCGTGACAAGCTGGAGATATGGGTTGGATGTTTCTGGCTCCAACTCCTCTCTTAGAGCTGAGAAATGTCCTTCACAAACAACCTGAACGGGCTCAGGGCAGGTCCTTGGCAGGAGAGCCAGCTCCGACGCTTCTCCCTGGCTGCCCAGGTGACCCCGGCCATGCATCCCCCCGCCCAGCAAAGCATCTCAAACCCAACCACAGCGGCACGACCCACGATACAAGCCGGTAACGGGTACAGGGAGCACTGGGGACGCAAACAGCATCACCCAAGAAGTCAGCAGCAGCCCAGGGATTCAAGCCAGGGGTTTCCCAGCCACAGACCAGCTCCTAATCACCCCTGAGTATTTACTTCTCCCTCTCAGCGAGGCACCTGAGTGCTACAAGGAAGAAGGCAAGCACGCCTGCGCCTGGAAAAGCACCTTGCCGCTCATTAATGGCATGCAGCTGAATTTTAATGTACTTTACTTCCAACCCTTGCCACAGAGAGCCTGGGGCTGTGCTACTAATTAACCTACAGAGGGAGCGAAATTGCAATTCAAAACAGGAGCTGTAATTGAATCATCACAATTGTTTTGCATTTGTTCCAGGGTGGCAAACACTCGGGCTGTCATGACAAGGTGATTACGCTCGGCGCTGGCACGAGATGCACAAGCCACCGCGTTCAGCTTCTCTCTGTCGGTGCTTTTCCTGCACCCCAGCTGGTGCCAGCTAACCAGAGAAGCCCATTGCTTGAAAGCAAGACCGAAAGCTTCAGGAAAGATGAGCATCCCAGGCTCTGCGGGTATTCCAGGCTCCTGGGTGGCTGGCAGTGTGCAGGAAGGTGCCTAAGAGCCAACTGCATGGGAGGGTTGAAGGACAGAGGTCTAGGACAGAGGGACTCCGCTGCCTTTGATGACGAGGTCTCTGCTTTACGCTACAACTATTGAACCGGTGCTGAATGTGCCCCCAGCACCGGGCTGCCTTCGCCCTTGCTGCGAGGGACGGCCCTGACACTCCTGCCCGCCCAGTCGTCATTGGAAATGAATTAATCCCAATTCACTTCAATGAATGATTCCCCCGAGCAGATGAAGAGCCTCGCACGTCCCTGCTGCCACCCCATTCCCGTCGCAGCTCGAGCCCATCTCGCGCTGACACAACTGGGTCAGTTCATCTCCGCTGGCTGCGAGGGGCAGGGGCCCAGCTCGGTGCAAGGCAAACGATGTGCTGGCCGCGAAGAGACATTCTTCTGGCCCCCTGCCCCTCGCCGTCGGAGGAAGGCTGTGTGCCAAGGCCCCCTCCCCACAAAAGGCGGGCAGAGGAGTGTCTCTTCCCTGCATCCTCGCAAGCAGGGAGGTGACCCGCTCCTGGGGCCGGGCTCGGAGAGGCCACGGGAAGGAAGTTGGGGTGGTCACGTTGTACATTACTGTGTGTCATATCGCTGGGCGTGTGGTTTTCCTCCCTCTCCGCTGCTAAACACCAACCGCAACCACAGCTGGGAAAGGCAAGGGACAGGGGTTACCGCTGTTAACCTGGGAACACCCCAACCGCTTGGGCAGCAACAGCCCGAGCTACTGAATTTGAAGCTACTTCAGCCCCTCTCCCTTCTCCCAACCCCAGCAAGGGATCAGTGCCTTCCTCCTCCTCCTCCTCCTCCAGGGTTGCTGTCCTTCTCCAGCAGGCAGGGACTGGCTCCTAGGGGCTGGATATGGATCATGAACCAGGAATGTGGTCTCACAGCTGCAGCCAGCGGCTCTGCATGGAGGAGGAACCAGGACGTTACCCCGTGGCGTTGTCCTTGGCTGGCCACAGAAAAGCACCGTAGGGGCCAGCGCAGAGCCCACCAGGCCCTGCCTCTGCATACCCCGGGGTTTATGGAGCAGGCGGCCTGGGAACAAGCCCAGCCGGCTTGTACGGTGTGCGCACGGAGGCTGGAGGTGCCCTCGGCCATGAGCAGGGAAGCAGCAGATCGGCAGGGTCGGTGCAAACCCCACTGCACCCCGAGCCTTGCGCCTGGGCTGCGGCTCCATCTCCGTCTCTCAACCTGGTTCGGTGCAGCCGACAGCAAGGTGCTGCCAAACAGCAGTGCAAAGTGCACGAGCGAGGCACAAACACTCGTCCTGTCCTTGTCTAAATAACCTGTGGTACCTGAATCGATACCTTCCTGTAAATTATCAGCCCGTGTGGAAACAGGGCAGCTGTGATTCACAACGGAAGCGAGTAAATTTGTTAAGAGAAGAGGCTGTCTCTGCTAATGAGGGCAGCTGCAAACTGTTTTGGGGAGGGTTTCCTTGGTGCTGCCTGTCCCCTGCCAGTCACCATCAGTCACCCAGTGCACAAGCGCATGGGGCCGACCCCACGCTGCTCCCCCCCTGGGCCTGCCCTACAAAAGTGGCCCAATTAAGAGACCGCTACACATTTCCATTTATAAAGCACATCAGAGAGATCTACAGCAAAGAGCATAGCTGCCTCCGCTCCTTACTTCAGCCCCTCCTCTCAAATCCAGGACAAGCCCTCAGGATCTGACACAACCAGGCTGCACAAGCCCAGACCCTGCTGCTGGGGAAATGCAAATGGCCATCTGGGGGGCTGGTGATACGAGGGGCGGAAAATCAGAGGCAAGGGTGGACACAGCACGTGTCCTCTCTGCCTCGGGAATCCCAGGGCCAGGCCGCAGCTGGCTGATAACCGGCATCATCAGCAGAAAGATGTCACGGCCCCGTTGCTCAGCTGGCCGCCGGCGTGCTGGCCGAGCACGTGTTGCTGCTGGAGAAGAGCCGGGGAGGTCCGAGGCACGAGGAGCTCCGGGCTGTGAAACAGCAACTTCTGCAAGGTTACAACAAAATTCAGCCTGCCTTCCCTTCTGAGCAAAACGCAATGCCTCCCGCCTTCCTCGAGTCACGCATGGACCATCTCTGAGGTGCACAGGCACACGTGGCATCGGGCGGACACCTCCAGAAGCGGGTTGTGGCTTTCCTCGTCAGGCAGACATTTACAATTACAAAGGAGGAGACGCGGGGACCAGAGGTTTCTAACGCACGTCTGCACCAGGGATGAAGGCAGCACCCTCCTCCCTCCTGCCCGGGTTGAAGGGTTAACAACCACTCATTACAATTTTTATAGAGCTGTGTAAATGATTGCCCACTGAAGGGTGAGCAGAGCCTACATTATTAAAGGAGAAGAGGTGGCTGCGGAAGGGACAAGAGGCTCCTGCAAAATGACCTGAAGCCGGCAGCAGCTGTGTCTGCGTGATCTGCCCCGCAAGCAGGCCGGTTGCTCTGTAACGGCGCAGCACGCTTCGCACCACGGGTGTTTACGGGTGGCCTGTAAGCAGAAATGCAGTGGGCTCTTTCGGTGCTCTTCCCTTCTCCCTTCCTTTCACCTTGAAGGTGGAAGAATTCACAGCGAGCAGATACTCGGTTGATCCCCTCACATTACATGCCTGACTAGCACGAAGAGATTTGTAAGGAGTGCCTAAAGTTATCACGGCATCACGTTTCTCATTTGTTTAATAACAAAAACCGCCTGCCAATAGCCGAGAGGATTTTCTAGCCTGGGATGTGACAGGCAGCAAAACCCAAAGCTGTCCAAGCTTACAGATGCTCTTAAAATTGCTGCTCTGCTTTGCTCATCTTTTCAATATGCTGATCCCTTCTTCAGCCTTCAAGGACCATTACGTTAGCATCTCTGGAAAGGTTTGCCAGGCGTGAAGAGCGAGCTGTCCTGCTTATATGGGGTGGGAAAGGAAACAGCACTCGCCAAGAAAGGTCGACGTACTGGGTTTGAACAAGCAAGAGGTGCCACAAAACACTCAGGCAGGGCAGCCTGGCCTGTTTGGGGTATGTACAGTTCAGTCGAGAGTGACGGCCCCTGATTCAGCCTGATTCCATCGACTGTGGAAAGAAACAGTGTGTCCCAGTAACTGGTAGGAGATGGTCTGGCTTTTAATGGTGGTACTACCACCATCAGCCCAATCCCGAGCAGTGAAAGCCCAAAGTCGTTAACATATTTGGCAGCTGCTCCAATGTCTGTGTCTGACTCTCACTCCACATCCCACTGGGACAAGCCAGCCAGGTGCCAGCCAGGAAAAGGACCCTTCCCTGGAGGTGGGTTCTCCCAAAGCAGCCTGCAGCTCCTGATGGGGCTTCATGGGAGAAGCTCACCCTCCTCCTCCTCCATCTCAGACAGAGCCTGGCACATGGCCTGGCTCTGCCTCCAGACTCCTGGCACGGGCCATTTCCATGGAGAACCTCACGTACAGGGCCCTGACCGTGACATTCGCCAGGCCGTGGACAGCATCGGCGACGATCTGGTGCACGTGTGCTCTGCCACACCTATACGTGATGTAAATCGCTCACCTCCTTGGATTTCAAGGATCTCAGGGGAATGCCCTGTCCCCCCTCCAACACTCCTACCTAATCGCTCTACTTGTTCAAGGGCAACTGTCCAGAAACAGATCAGGGCAGATCTGATGGAGAAGGGGTGTTGTGGAAGGATGCAAGGCCAAACTGAAAAAGCCTAGCAGTTTTAAAATATCTATTTGAAATACAAAATCCAACCTGTTGGAATGCAGAAGCTCTGAGTTTTTCCCGCAGAGTAAAAGAACAGCTTACAATAAAAATACATTTTATGAGCTGTCCAGTAAGCCAGTTATGTTTTCCCAGAGCTTAGTGAAGCACTTGTCGTGGAAATGCCGCTTCTGATCTTATTATTCTTCCCTGCAGTGCATGTTATTAACTTTCTGTTTTATTTACAGCATCACCATTTACTTTTACGATACTTCCATTAACTTCATCGGAGTGAACATTGCTTGATGCACACAATCAACGCCCAGTGCTACCATAATCTTTAACGCACCTTGCCAGCTGTTCTGGGTTCGCATACATCTTTACGCAGGAGGAGGGAGGACAGACGCAGCTGGAACATGTCATTTGAAGAACGGAACAAAAAACATACCTCCCAATTTGAGACTTTTTTAAAAAAAAAAAAACAGAGCGAAAGCAATTGTGTTTTCTCATGGGAGTGCTGCATTAGACTGATTCACGCTGCATCTGTGCCACTAGCAGGAGAGAAGATAAAGCACAGCCAGACTTGACTTTAGTTGGACTTGCAGAACTCACGAGCTTGTTAGCAGAGAGAGATAGGTGCTTGCAGACCTACCTGTCTCCCTGTGGCAGCTCCTGACTTTATGTATCCCTAGAATAAATCCTTAAGAAATCCCATGGGTTTGCTGAATTCTCTCTGTAGCAAGCAGTGGGGCTCCTACAGGTATAGCAAGTGGTGGGAAATGCTCAGCTACTATTAGGTCAAGTCCCTCTTACCCATCTTTCCCTCGGTTATGGATCGCCAGCTCCTCCACGATGCCCTCCTCCTCCTTGAAGTTCTCCCAGTCCAGTTTAGATTTCTCCAGTGTGCTCATCTTCTGCTTTTTGGAGCCAATCTTCCCCAGGAGGCTGCTCATACCGCTTGGCCTCTTCACCCTGATGGAAATAAGGGAGCAAATGTTACTCAAATGCAGGGAGACAGCGATTAAAAACGGAGCTGAGAAACGTCACACGTGAGAGCGGTGGCCTTGATGGTGGTGAGCCACAGCTCCTGAAGAGATGGCCACCAACTTCAGGCAGTCTGCAGGCGGCAAGGTCACGCTTCCTGCAGATCCTGCTCCGCCGTTCCCCTGGAAGCAGCGGAGCTCATTACACACACATCTGAAGTGCTCGCTTTTTGTGAAAGGGCTTCTTCATTTATCTTCTTAAGAGAACAGAAAAGCTTTCAGGCCAAAAGAGATCATTAAATCATCTTGTTTGGCCCCTTGTATACACCAGGCCAAGCCATTCCACTGATCACCTCTGTGCTAAGCCCGGTTCTTTGTCTTCGGTTTAAAGTGTGGTTTTCTGGAAGGGATCCAGCCTCAGTGCGTCACCAGCGCTGACAACACATCTAGGAATTAACCATTTCCTTGGTATTAACACGACTGTTTTCAGCTTGATTTTGTCTAGCTTTAGGTTCTGATTGCCACTGCTTATTCTAAACCCAAGAGTGCTTTGGTACCCAGGCGCGTCTCATTAGTAACCTACTCATAACATAACCATAACGAACTTACATCTGAATTATTTTTTTTTGACAAAGAGATAGAGCTCTTTACACCTCTCACTGAAATGCATTTTGCCCCAGCCTGCACATCATTTCTGAGGTTTTGACCCCCGCTTACGTTTCAACGCTCTTTGAAGAAGAGGGCACCAGAACTGCATGTAACCCCCACCCTTCTAATCACAGACCTATTTCTGTCCAAGGATCGCCTAAATCCCGTCGGTTACACCATCATGCGACACGCCGAGTCCCGGTGCATGAGCGCTGTGATCCCACACCATCTCCCAGGTCCCTGTTTAGCAGGAAGATCACCTCGGTCTTTCACCTCCTTGTTCTTAGAGGACTGAAATCCCACCCGCGTGGCGCGGCTCCCGAATCTCCCCTTTCTGCTGGGAAATGCACACACAGGGGACTCAGGTCAGCCGGGTTGCCCTCCAAGGAAGACAATTCTCAGGGCTAGGAACCCGTAAAACAAACCCATATTAACCCTTCTTAAACCCCCCCAGGAGAGGGGGGCAAACAGCATCCCATTGAACTCGGTGTTTACACACATTCCAGAGATAACTTCAGGTCTGCAGGGCCTTTGCCTCTGCAAGAAGCCGGAGAGGAAATGATTCTCGTTCCTGAGAGATGGAGGAATTTGCAGAGGGGGGGGCCCCAAGGAAGGCAGCCAGGTGAGCGTGGCAGACTGCTCTCATCTACTCTCCAAGCACAGTCCTGCTCAGGGTTAGCCGTTCTTGGGAAGGTATCCAAAGCTGTCCTTATCAGATCATTAGCGTGGTTTATGCCTCCATAATCTGCAAGCCTCTAAAGGAAAATAATTCCACAGTTTATATGGAATTAAATCAAAGAAAATGACATCTTTGCAAGCTACAGCCAGAAGATTCTCAATGCAAGGCTGGCCTTAGTCACTTGGGGTTGCAGCTTCCTGACATAGATATATTTGGGCTACAAACCCTGGGTTAAGGGCATCGTGGCAGGCTCCATAGCCACTGGACAAAGCTGCCTGCCTGCCCCTCCTCATTCTGCCCAGCCAGAGGAGCAGAAATGTCCTAGGACCTGGCCCTCTTCTTTCTTTCCGTCCCTGCCCATCACTGGAGCACGTGCTGACAGCCAGCATTTTTCTCTCTGCGGGGACACAGAGCAAGCTGGATGCTCTTTTATTCACCCTTATCCCTGAACGTCTCGTCGCGATGTCTACAGCCCTTGACATCACAATCACACAATAAAACCGTGATCCTCCCTCAGCCTCCGATCCTCCCTTACTTTTCAAGACGTGATGGCTCCGAGTATCCTTATCTGCAGGTAGCAGGAAAGTGGTGCAAGGGGGCAAAGATAAAATTGGAGAGATCCGGGTCCCACATCTGGCTATCCAGGACTACACAAGAGCCTTGCACAACCACCAAACCGAGTATCAGATGCGTGTTCAAGTTATGAGGGAGTGGGAGGAGAGGAGATATGACAAGTAAGAGGGCAAAAGCAAACAAAATATTGGGCAAGCATCCCCCATGGCATTCCCTGCTGAGCAGCAGCCTGGGCGGCAGGGAATGCCTGCACTGGGAGGCCTTGGGTTTTAGCAAAGGACTTAAAGTAAAGATGCCCTGAGACAGATCTAGAGGAATACTATAGCTGATCCAGCTGGCAATACTCCTCTCCCCCCAGCCTGGCAGGCAGAAGGTGTTTAAATTAACACAAGGTATTCAATCACACATGTATGTGAATACACTTAACTTTCCAGACACACTTGTGCTTACAGTTTTGCCTGCCTGTGAAGTGGGAGAAGGAGGGATGAAGAAATGGAGGGTATTGTCCCTTCTCCCTAAATGTCTCCTGAACGGTTTTTGGGGCAAAGAACCCCAATGGCATAAGAACAATCTCACCTGTCCAAGGGCACTCATAGCTCACCCGTATCCGCCAACTCTTCCGTGGTTGGGAGCCTACAGCCACTGTACAGCTGTACTACAGACAGGCCTGACTCCGCAAAAGACACAGCACGCACCGGGAAAACCCACTTGAAGCCATTTCAGGATCTCTCCTGGGTGTTAGAGGAACGCCTGCCCTGCAGAGCAACAAGCAGGCTCAGAGGCAGGCTCGCACACGCCGAGATTGATGCCTTTTTGGCTGAACCTCGGGCTGCCAGCTGCTGGTGGGGAAAAGCGGAGTCGGGACAGGGGCCGGTCAGCCAGGCTGGGCTGCCACCCACGACCCTGCATGAAATACATACTGGGACATGCTGACAGGCAACTGCCGTCCCCAAACCATCGTGGAGGATATAAACGAGGGAAGGGGATCAAAGGCAAGATGGTTCGTGGCCACAGGTGGAAGCAGAGGCGGTGCTGGCTTCACAGATGGGAGTAGGGGCTGCAGGCTTGATGAAGGTCACTCCTCACGTATCTTCTCTCCCATGGTAATTCCTGGTACAAATGAACAACATCTCTATGCACACATCCATCCGTAACAGTGCTCAAGGCCTCTGTACCTCCTCTTGGCCATGGATCTCAGGAATATCCCTCAAAAGATACAATTCACCCCACGTTTGAAGCTACAGAGTCTAGGTTATGAACATGGACCTCCACCAAGGGCTTCCAGGTAGCCACAAGAATAATTGCAAGTCAACGATCCCTTCAAGGCAAGGGAACGTAACAAAATGGCAGGCTACGCTGCACCCTCCTGTTGATGACTACTCTACAAAACTTGCTAATACCTGATGTCAGTCCTGTGCTGGAGAGGGGCCCTGGGCTGGATAACCTGGCTCTGCTCCTGCCCGGACAATTCTGGGCTGTTTTGAAGCAGGACCGAGCCTGGGCCAGGCAACGAGATGGGGCCAGGCATGGACTGAAGGACATGTTTGAGTTTGCTGCTGAGTCTTCACTCCGTGCGGAGCCTTTCATCACCCTGAATAAATCCAACAGCAACCTGGGGGTGGGAATTCCTACGCTTGTGCCAAAATGAAGTAAATGAGAGACATTAAAGTCCAATTAAAAACTTGCTTGGCCTTAAATGCCTCATCTGTTTAAAAAGCAAGTAAAGGGGCCTGATTAATTGCATTCAGTGCCAACAAGAGGAATTATTACCCTTTTCGTACTCATTAAGGGTATCTGCTGTGGCATCTTTAATCACTAAGGCATTTAAAAGGGAGAAAGTAATTTGCTAAGACATAATGGATCCCGGGGATGGGAATCAGGACAATCGCCTATTTAGGACACAAAGACACGCTCTTACTTTCCACAATTAAAAAGCATGGCCAAAGTCAGCCCCTCAACCAGCAAATAAACGTGCTGGTGAGCTCTGCCTTGGTGGGGTGGATTCCGCTGCATCCGTCGAGTGTCTTCAGGACAAGGACCGTGCCTGGGCATCACCCAGCACGGTCACACCCAGGGACAAACAGCAAGCCAAGGGCTCCTTTGCTGTCCTACCATAGGCGAACACGCTCTGTATTCCTGTCTTTAACAATGAGGCTTCCTGCCATCTCAGTGTGAGCCTGCAGTGCAACCAGGACCTTGGAGAATTGCTGCTATACCAATGATAAAGTGTCACTGTCACAGGTAATCCCCGCTGTCTTGTAACATGAAGGTTGGCAGCATCTGGGAAATGCATGCCTGCCTCCAAAGAGGCAGACTTCATCACAAGCTTTGTAAAATAACCTTCAAGCAACAGGAAAACAGGGCTACAAAGGTCCCGTAGTGCATCCCGCCAGCCAAAGCAAGATGAGTTCCTCTCCCACCCACCCAGAGATAGGTGCTCTGAAGGCCTCTTGACACCAACCCCCCCATGCACTGGAGGTTTCAGTACTTCATCAACCTTTCACTTACAGAAGTTTTCCCCAATGACTAAATTTCCTTGTTCAGCCCATGACTTGTTATCTTCTTCCTAGTAGCTTCTAAGAACAGATCATTCCCTCACTTTTCACAGCAGCCTTTTATGTCTTTGAAAGTTTTTCATATCCCCCCCCACCGCCCCCCCCAGCTCAGCTTGCTCCTTCCTAGACTAAACAATGCTGGGTCCTTTCAAGCTTTTCTCATTCCTCACAGTTTCCAGCCCTCTGACCACTCTCGCTGCTCTCCTTGGACTCTGCTATTGGCCCACATCTTCCTTGAAACGCAGCATCCAAAACGGGAAAGAAAGGGCTCCAGCCATGGCTTTACCGGCACCGGCAGCAGGAGGAATACTTCAGATGCCTTGTGAAGCATGCAACTCCTTACACGGCCTCCTATGACGTGTGCCTTTTTCACAACCGTGTGACAGCGTTGACTCATGTCAAGCCTGTGATTCACCGAGATAGCTGTCTTGCTTCGCTCCTGCCAAGCCAGATATTTTCTTCCTCGATCCACGTAGATGATTACTGCTACTCAAAGGCAGAACTCTGCACTGGTCCTTCTGCGCTGGTCCTCCT